GAAATTGTTTGACACAATTGTATGGGCCTAGGTAGAGAAAGAATGTTAAAGATTTAAAATGAATTGTTTGAGATTGTTAGAGTATATGATAGTTCTGCGAACGATCACGTATGTAAGCTCGTTGCAGAACTTGCGTGATGGACTACGAACGATCGCGTATGTAAGCCCGTTGTAGTCTAGGCCTTAGAGGGCCATGACGGAGAGGACATACCCAAAACGCGAGAAAGGAGTCGGCTCCGCCGTGAATTTAGGAAAAGTAAAGAAAGTGAAAAGGAAAGAAAGTAAAGAATGTGAAAAGTAAAGAATGTGAAAGGTGAAATGTTTAAGTATGATAATGTAGAAGTAAAAGAGATTATGGTGTAGAAATGTTAGGTATGAAGGTTATGTTGCTAGTAATAAGTTGGATGATGTATGTTCTATTTCTGGTTTAATGTGTTCGATTGCTTATTGTTTTCAAGTATTAGAGTTGTTGTGGGTAACAACCTCACCGAGTAATTCTTCTCGGAATTGCTCACCCCTTTTTCCCCCTTTTTCAGTGTGCAGGTGTATTTATTGTGTTGCAAGTTAGGGCGCGAGACATATAACTCAAAATGATCGGGGAACGGGTGTTACATTTCCTTTTTCTAATTTTAACTACGTAATTGTCAAATTTACTTGGAAAACAGAAAATAGGCCTATGGATAGATTCTTAGACGTTAAGAGAGGATTACAAAGAAAGTCATATAACACTAGTTTCAACTCAAGTGAAAAAGACAAGAACGTAGTAAAAGTAGTAAAAGTACGAGAAAATAGTAATGAACACTTTGAAAATATTGTGGATTGCCAAAAATTGGGTTATAGATTAATCACGAGGAAGACAAGATGAAGAAAGATATATGTGGGAAGTAAATTAAGAGGATGGAATAAATAAGTATAGAGAAAAAGTATGAGAAGATGTTCCAATACTGATTTTTTTTCTTGACGAGATGACACACTTGCTTAAGCCTATGATGAATGAGAAAGGTTTAGGTTCAACAAAGGAAAGGAACCTACACCAAAAGAAGTACCGGATTCAGTCACTTACCGTGATCCACAACCAACCAAGAAACAAGTAATGTTTCATCACTTACCATTAAAAAAGTCTTAACTGAACTAACTCAATGTGTTTCTAGTGATCCAATGACTCCCTACTCATCTAGTACCAAAAGTGTTGAGAAATTTTCAAGAGCTGAAATGGATCATATCACCTAAAGAAGAAACAACTACAAAGGAGAATTTTACC